AAAACAGGGCGTGTGTGTGTGTGGGGGGGGCACACTGTACATGGAAGGAAGTGTGGGAATTGGGCCTGTGACCACAGAACTCCTTTATCATGCAGTGAAACACCTAAGCTGGCCTTACTGCTCATTATAATGGTCTAATGAAGGCAAACCTGAAGCTGTGGCCCACAAGTAACACTTAACTGCACGCACGTGCCAAAGATAAAGCTTATGTGGTTTGGCATGCCCTGTGATAACACATGGTCTATGGGGCTGAGTCTGTGAATCACTCTAAGGATTAGAAGGCCAGGTCTTCAAAACATACTTGAACTACAGGATGAATTTGCCACATTGGCTCATGTGTAGAGAGGCAAGAAGATGAGTCACTGATTTTGCCAATGGAGTTGACTGTCATTCACAGAAAGATGAGTTTCTGTTTCCTAAGGAGAACAGGTAGGGAGATGATGGTGTCTCAAAGATCCACTTGTGGTTCTCTTGGTCAATTGTGATTAACTGGACAGATACAAGAGACCCATGAGGAATAGTGAGTGACCAGATACCAAGTCCCTCGAAGATGAAAGTTTAGATTTCACTCTGTAAGTCACTGAGAGTGAGGGAAGTCTAGAATGTGCAGCAGGAGAGTGAAACAGATGCTGCAGCTCAGAGCATCCATAGTGCTGGGGCTGGGACTTATCCTAGTAGCTCTCCTCCCAATTTCTCTGCAGGAAGAGCCACACACTGGTGAAACTGCTTCTGATGTAAACACGGCCCCTGATGAGCAGGAAGTTGTACTGCACTGATCATTTCAAAGAACTTCCAGTTAAAGCTCCTGTTCACTGACCTTCGGGTATCTGTACTATTTATCTGATGCCTATCTCTGTTTCTAGCTACACCAATTTCTCCCAAGACAGGTTTTCTCTATGTGGCCCTGGCTGTCCTGGAATTCGCTCTGTAGACTAGACTGACCTCAATCTCACAGACATCCACTTGCCTCTGCCTCACCCCAGCTGGGGTCTCTTTATCAGTTTCACTGATACTTAAAAGTGCCTGTTGATGTTACAGATGTTTTCCACTTTCTGTTTAATTGACAGCTTTACCACCTTTATTCCCTTTCTTTCTTTTCTTTTACTTAGGAATTAATTTGACCTTTTTCTAGCTTAAGGTAGCAGCTTACATCAATGATTCTGTGTCTCTCCCTAAGCGTAACAGTTTTAAGTTATTCTCTACCCTTTGGGGCATATTCTTTTCTGAAAATTGAGGTTTTTACTATTGCTTACTTCAACATTGCTTTCCAAGAGAGCTCATGATTTCTTCTTTGATGTATGTGTTATAGTATGCTGTTTAATTTCAAGTATTGGCTGGTCTCCAACTCACAGAGACCTGCCTGCCTCTGCCTCCCTAGTGCTGGGATTAGAGGTGTGCCCCACCACCACCCGGCTTTATATCCCTTTCAAAAGTGATTATTTGATGGGGGAGGTCCATCTGTGTATGTTTGTCTTATTGGTTGATAAATGATAAAGTACTGTTGGCCAATAGGGAAGCAAGTTAGGCAGGACTAGGAGTCGAGGAGAATTCTGGGAAATGTAGTAAAGAAGTGATTCAGGCAGGAAGTGACATAGCAGGCAGGCTCAGAATATAAGCAGGGACAAGCAAGAAATTGCTCTCTCCCTTCTCTCTTCTCTGGGAGAGGCCATGTGAGACCGACAAGAGAGGACACGTGCTGCCAGCGTCCTCGATCAGACTAATATAGATTAATAGTTATGGTTGATACTTAAGACAGAGATAGCAGGTAAGAAATCCTAGTATTTGGCCAGCAGCATCTAATCTTAATCTTAATCTCTGTGTTTTATTTTGGGCAACCACATGGTGACGGGGCTCGGGCAGCTGGTGGATTTATTGTTACAATATTTACTGACTTTTTTGTTGTAGCAATTAAGATGGTGTTGATATATTCAACCTTTAAAATTTCTCCTTGTATGTTTTTATTCCTTTTGGGTGTTTTGTTGTATCTGTATGTTTGCTTGCATATGTGTCTGCTGTCTGTGCAGGCAAGAAGGTAGAGCAGAAACCTATAGAACTGGAGTCATAGACTGTTGTAAGACATCATGTAGGTGCTGGGAATTGAACCCAGGTCCTCTACACAAGGGTAGCCAGTGCTTTTAACTGCCAAGCTGTCTCTCCAGGCTGACATTTTTATTCTTAAGAGTATATGTACATCTTGACACGCACCAGATAAGGTCCTACCCTAATCCACACAACCTAGATTGACTTTTATGCCCCCACAGGACAACAAATACCTGGACACAAGGGGAGTTTGGATTCCAAGGGACAAAGTTCTACCTTGGCCTGCAAATCAGTATAAGTCACCTGAATTGCAGAAGTCTGCACAGGTGCCACTCTGCAAAATACCTACTAACTAGTGCAAAAGCAAACAAATGAGTAGAGACAGGAATGGGGACACGTTAATTTTTTAAAAAGAGAAACCACTGGGCACGTACAAACTTATGGCAACTAAATACTGAAACCAAAAAGGAAATTAAAAAAAAAAATCCTAGAAAAAATGATTCTGAAACCACAACATTCCCCAAACCCATTGTGGTTCTAAGAGGGCAGTTGATAGCCATTGGTTCCTACAGTAAGAAATTAGAGACATCTCAAATCACTTAATGATACAACTTACATAAGCCAAACCCCAAATGAAAAAAATAATGACATCAGGGAAGAAATTAATGAAATAGAAACAATAACAGAATGAAACAAAAAGTTGGTTATTTGAACAGCTAAATGGAGTTGTTAAACCCTTAGCCAGAACAAAAGAAACAGGAATTACAAAAGAGACGTGACAGGTGATGGTGGCCCACGCTTTTAATCCCAGCACTCGGGAGGCAGAGGCGGAGGATCTCTGCGTGAGACCAGCCTGGTCTACCAGAGCTAGTTCCAGGACAGCCTACAAAGCCACAGAGAAACCCTGTCTCAAAAACAAAAAACAAAACTAAACAAAGAGATGAAAAGGAAGCCATTACAACAGATACTGATAAAATTTATAACATCATTAGGTCTTAAAAACTTACATTCCATGGAATTGGAAATGCTGTTAGAAACGGATGAATATATAAATGCATATGACCTACAAAAACATGAAGATGAGCAATTATGTAGTAGTAATTTGAGGTCCAGGTGGTTTCACTGGTGAATTTATCAGACCTTCCAAGAACTAAAACCAGTGCTTCTTCAAATATTTCACAAGACAAAAAAGGAAGAAACATTAAACTCTTAAGATGCTACTATTAACTTGATACCAAAGGCAAAGATGTGACAACAACAACAAAAAATTTCAGATCAATTTCCCTAATGAATATAGATGCAAACATTCTCAGCCAACTATTTGAAAACAGAATTCAAGAATACATTTAAAAAAGTTCACTCACAGCCATCAAGCTGGGTTTATTTGGTCCAGATATGCAGAGTTGGCTCAATATGCCTATCAATTAGTGTTATCCCCTTCCTGTTAAAAGTCCTAAATAAAGCTACTCAGAATAGAAAAAATATCTCAGCATCATCAAGGCTACACAACAAACCTGTATTTTATTAATATAATTCCAAAGGTGGTCTTATTCAATTGCACTAGAAGTCTTAGGTCACATAAACAGAGCAAATAAAAGGAAAACAGGAAAGGAAGAGGTCCAAGTGCAAGCACCTCTACTCGAGGATGGTATGATTCTACACAAGAGACTAAGACAACACCAGAAAACTCCCACGTAAAACCCAGCAGCCTTCCTACACACACACACACACACTTGAGGAGGCAATAAAGAAAACAGTTCCATTCACAACAGTACCTTGGAAAAAAAAAATCTAACCAAGGAGAGGAAAAATCTGCCTAATGAAAATGCTTTGAGTTTTACAAATGTGACACTAAGGCTGAGAAAGCATAAATCCAAATTCCTTTCCCTGCCTGCCATAGCTCTTGACATTTGGTAAGACATATACACCTGCACGCCCACCCTTAACATGAGACATGAACTAAATCATTTTGTCAGTCTACCTTCAGTGTGAAGAACACCACTAGCAGCACAAACTGTTCAACTACACCAGCCACAAGCCACAGAAAAGGACCAATTTGACTTGGCCTCCAAGCCTGTGTTGTGTTTGCTGCTGATTGGAACGCAGGGAAAATATGACAATTGTAATGTGGGTAGACACTGGGAGCACAATTCACTTAAAACAAGTATTATTTAGTGTGCATGTGTGTTGGAGCAAGAGTGCCATGGTGTGCATGGGGAAGTCAGAGGTAAACTTGCAGGGATTTTTTTTTTGGGGGGGAGGGGCTTCCCATCCATCATGTGAATCTCAAGGACCTAACTTGGGAGGTCAGGGTTGGCAGCAAGTACCTTCACCTGCTTAGCCATCTTGTTTGCCCATTAGCATCTATCTACTTTATCCACATCACCAAATATGTATGGATTCACCTGGTTACCTACAAGCCCTTTGGTTTGAAAACTACCAACTTTCCTGAAATCTACAATTAGAACAAAAAAAGTTAATGTAAAAATGTTATAACCTAGACAGAGTGCATCAATTTAATATCTAATCAGACTCTAATTGTTCAATGTTCTGTAAGTTGGTTTTGATATATGAAAAGCACTAGACTCAAATATCAACAGACTTGTCAGACCACACAAAAGGTTATTTTTTACCAAGCCATGAAAGAGTTACATTACCTGACCTTTTGAGACCCATAGATACTATCAGGTCTAACGGGTAGAGAGTTTGCTATATGAATAAATGAACCTAATGCCTAACTCAGAAGAGCAATGTAGTTTGTTCTACATACAGATAATGCTGGGCATTGGTGGCGCACGCCTTTAATCCCAGCACTTGGGAGACAGAGGCAGGCGGATCTATGTGAGTCCAAGACCAGCCTGGTCTACAAGAGCTAGTTCCAGGACAGCCTCCAAAGTCACAGAGAAACCCTGTCTCAAAAAAAACAAAAAAAAAAAACAAACAAAAAAAATTCAGATATATACTTTTAAAACCACATTTTCAAAAGCATTTTATTTTTTATTTTTAATTCAAGTACAAGTCAGCTAGTTAACATAAATACAGAATAAATGCACATAATCTGCAGCCATGTACAAAAATGCAATAGCAACACTCATGAATGGGCAAAAACTCATTAGCTCTTTTAAAGCTGACTAAACTATGAGTGATTGGTATAATTTAGTTCACATCCACTGGGGTACATTCAGAAAGTTTGACATAACTGAGCAGAACTAGACTTTTTAGCTTCTAAAATAGGTGGCATTAAAAACCAAGGTATGTGAGGAGGCAGAAAGCACTTTATTTTACATGGTAAAATTCTGTCCTGTTGAAATCAATCAGACATAGCTATCTTCTTCGGAATGTTAAAAGTCATGATCAATGAGGAGAAATGAGCTATGAATCAGCACTACAGGGGTCCCTATAACACTAGCAGTTTGGACAGAAGAGCATGTAAACAGAGAAGTATGAAGAAAGTCCTTAGAGAAAGGGGGAGATTGATTCCTCCACTTAAGTTCTTCAATCACTATTTTGTGGTGATTTTTTTTTAAAAGCCACTTTAGTAAATGAACATTTATTCTTTTGAACACCCCAAACTGTGCTCATCCTAACAGAGCAGACACATCCAGGTTTAACAGACAAAAAGCTGGGCTACATGACCTAACAATGCTGTCATAGCTTCAGAATTACAAGCCAGCTTGAGCCTCCTCTACTGAGTCAGGCTGGTTCTACACAGTTGCATAATGAGAGTTGGGACAGGGTGAGCATGAGGGGACTGGGGTAGGGTGGGAAGGTGTCTGTCTGTAATGCCAGCACTTAGAGGGCAGAGGCAAGAGAATCGGAGTTCATGGTCATCTTGAGCAACAAGAGAGCCTAACTATAACACAAAACAAAACAAAACACAAAGACAGAAATTTGGTAGTAGATATTCCCTGGAAATTTAAAGCACTGTATGGTATCCCATTACAGCTCGGCAATTAACCAACTGGAATATCTCAATTTCAAGCCTTTGAGACACAGCGGCAGAGTCCCTGCTGTGTGAGGTTTGCTTCCAGTAGCTATTGCTTCAGGCTGACTGAACAAGTTCAATTTTCTGAGAAGACCACAACAAAAGTATACAACAAGGTCCATAGAGCTTTCTAAGACATTTAAAAAGATTATCTGATTGAAAAGTTTTTAAAAACCCAATGCTCCAAGTATGCACAGCTTATTAAACATTACAATTAAGATAATCTTCAAAGAAATACTTTAGAGACAAATTATATATAACACATATATGGTTTTCTTTTTTGGAGTTATCTGTCATAAAGTAAACTATGGCAGACAGTACTCGGGAAAAACAAAACAGACCTCATTGCACCTTTCCAACCCTTCTTTCAAAGTCAATATTAAGACTTTAAAACCCCCCTTCCTGCAGAACACATACAGATACTACAAAAGCTGAGTGCAATGCACTAGAGGTTAATGTTAAGTTTTACTTGCAAAATACAAAATAATACATGTTCATCCTTGAAGGACACTTATTATTGATTTGCTACAACTACACAAGCTGTTCTTTAAATGCTGGTTTTGTCATTCTTCATGAGATCTGTGTAACACAGGAGAACATGTCCTACATTCAACACAACTAAGAGTTATGGATCTTCCCAGAGCAAGTGGCACTGTATTAGGCAGTATCAATGGCACCTGAAGAGGCAAACACTATAGCCTGAGACCTTCTCTACAGATTTAAGTTAAACCTTTAGGTGAGGATTTATTTTTGGTATGTTTCATGCAATAAATGTCAAAGCTGCAATTCCAAAGGTAACAATCTGAACTTGCCTTTGGTCTCCAAATAGATTGGAATAACATTAATTCCAATTGAGCACCTCAAGAACATCCAGTTACTGATTACAAGGAAGGTGAGAAATTTAAGAGGGCATTAAGCTTCACTGGTGACAGCAGAGAAAGCTTCCAATGGCATGCGGCTTTTCCATAATATTGTGACATTACACAGTACACAGCACACTTAAAATACTGTAAAATCTACAAAACATCTAAAAATCCAGAAAAATATTATGAACACTGCTTCTGCCTAACACAAACAATGTTAAAAAAAAAAAAAAAAAAACATGAATTCTCTCCTAATTCTTACCCCCTTAAAAGGCCACAAAGTGCATTCACATAGTCATTCTGAAGAGAAAGCCCATTGCACAAAATTTAAGGTTAAGGTACACTGATGAGTACCACAGTGGAGTTTAATTGTAGAAGTTTAATATACCAGTATAACAACATCCATTGGAAAACCTATAGTATTACAGCAAACACCTTTATAATGGCCATATATAATACAACTAAGTATTAAAAGGTGTCGCTGACTCAATAGCAAAATTTAAAAACTATATCCTGTTAACACACTGAACTAAAGCCTGACTTTATGATAAAGCATTCAGGTTCTAGGACAGAATAAAATCTGCCCAATTCAGCACAGTCATTGACAGACTCTTTCCCAACTAAGATTTGCTGGATCACACAGCTGAGGACCTCTTTTTGGAACGTTTTTGCTGTCCTAAATATTAATATCACTTCAAGAAACCTATAAAGGGCAAGAGTGAAAAATTACCATTTTCTCTACCAACCAAGAATAATCTATACTGACTTGGAAGTAATTTAAAGGTTAAAATTCTTAATGTGAAAGTAAATAAAACAGATTCAAATCTCGCTAACTTTTATACTTTTAAAGTAAATAACACGTGGGTATGAGAATGTGATAATCATAGATCTATCCATGCATTATGTAATTGGAGAATGCATGGCGATATGCTCTTAGTCACTGAGTCAGTATCCACTAGCTTATTTTATAGTCCCAACACTAACCATGTGCATTTAATATTAATTTAAAGTCCACATTATAATAAATGTTAGCTGTAACCAAAACATTTTCATGCTGAAAATACATATAGTATTTAGGTACTATTTCATTGGTTGTCAAAATACAATGACTACTGATGCCAAATAACATTGTACCAGGCAGGGGCCTCGCAGGGAAATGGTATTAAGGATCTACCTACCATTATTTTACAGTATTACAGAAGATGTCAAATTAGACATTTATAATGGTCACTACTATCTTTGGATAAGTACTTAGACATAACTTGTTTTAAGATGGAAAGAATGCTCATGGAATTAACACTATATTCTGAATGTCATAAATCAATAAAAAACAAAAACAAAAAAACCATACATAGCTAGTGAACAATGGTAGAGAAAATGGCAATTTTAAGAAAGCAATACTTTTCAAAGTATTCTCTTAGAGGTGGCCCAAGGTTTCTTCACTGAAATATTAATGTAGTGTGGTACTTGACTTCCTACAACCAAACTTCCACTCAGGCATAGAGCAGTTATATGTTTCCCAACTACAGTCTTCTGTCCACCATGCTGGCCTCAAGGTTCCATGGTCCACCGTGATCTTTTTGGTCTTCCTGCTCTGTAGCATGGCAGGCCATGCTGCTATCCATTGAGTAGGTACACCACCACTTCATAGGTGGCCATCATAATGGCTGTGTTTGGAATCTGTCTCACCAGATGAGTTGTTAGACCACGGTAAAGAGACCCATAACTTTCTTCTCGAACAATCAAAGACAGTGTTTGAAAAAAAGATCTGTATTTTGTTCCTTCTTCACGTAGTCTTGTTCTTACAACTTCTGTTTAGGAAAAAAGAAAAATCACTTTATTTAAACATCACTCTTATCTTTTCCCTCTCCTCACACTGAACACACACCTGATCTGTTACTCTACAAATGCAGGACAGTGGTTCAATGTACAGCTTACAGAACCAGTCAGACTACACAAACACCAAACTAATATAGCCTAGATTATATAAACTAAAGTATCTGCTGAAGAAACAGATGAAAAGGTATACAAACAACATGATGAATAAATAACATTCATAAATATAGTAAAGATGAACACAGGGAATTTTCTTGGTGGGCATGCTTAATGTGCCAACATAAAACTGCTTGATCCTTGTTATTTGGAGACTTAAGATTCACTTCTGACGTACCCTTGGGCAAGTTACTTAATTTTTACATTTCTAATTTCTGATTTGAAAATGATGGTGGCAGGTGGATCTCTGTGAGTTCCAGGCCAGCCTGGTCTCCAGATAGAGTGCCAGAATAGGCTCCAAAGCTACACAGAGAAACCCTGTCTTGAAAAACAAAAACAAAAAAGGAATATATGAAATAAAGATGCCAGGCGTTGGTGGCACACGCCTTTAATCCCAACAGTCGGAAGACAGAGGCAGGCGGATCTCTATGAATTTAAGTCCACCCTTGTGTACATAGTGAGTTCCAGGACAGCCTCCAAAGCCACAGAGAAACCCTGTCTCGAAAAACCAAAAAAAATAGTGTTTTGTTATACGGCATTCAAGTTAAATTTTGCTACTCTCTTACCATGCGGATATGCTATGGTTGTGGCACAGGTTTTTGAGGTGGCAGCAGCTAGCATCATTCTCACAAAATCTGATGCTTCTTTCACAGACTCTTCATCACTCTCCATCATAGAAGCAGTCTTACATCCCAGTAGCTTTTGCTTTATACTTTCATAAATAACAAAATGGATAACAGTCTCAGATATGCCGGCATAGGAGGCAGACATGCCTCTATAAAATCCTCTCAGTCCATCTGTCTGATATACTCTACGAATACATTCAAAAGCACCCATTCGCTTTTCCCCACGATTCCTGAAAGGAAAAAAGGGAAAATGTTACTGACATTAAGTACTAGAAGATTATTTTTTATCAAAGTTAACTGTATATATGGATGTACGCCACTCTAAACAATGGTCTGCTGTCAACTCATTAAGAATTTCAAAGTATGCATTTATTATATTTCTCATATAATTATCTTACTACATGCTACACAGACTCTTCAGCTTCCCATGCTCCTCAACGGGAGTCAGGTGGGAGAACTCCCTCCATGCTCAAGTGTTGGCTCAAGGAAGACTCAAAGTATCAAAACCTAAACCCTTAGACTATGATCATTCCAATTCTAATTATGCTCAATTTTCTTTGCATTTAGTAACATAAAAACAATGAGGGCGGGGCATGGTGGTATACACCTTTAATTCCAACACTGAGAGGCAGAGGCTGGTGGATCTTTGTGAGTTCCAGGTCAGCCTCCTTTACATACTGACTTCCAGGCCACCCAAAGCTATATAATACAAAACCCCCCCAAAAAAAAAAAAAAAAAAAAAAAAAAAAACTAAACAAAACAAAAAACCAAATAGCCATAAACAAAAACAACTGAGGAAGGTATGAATTATGACACTGCATCATAAAGCAAAGAGTATGACTGAGCTTCTTTCAATTGAATCAAGGTCTACCTGAAAAATTACCAGATAATTGTAAGCCAGATACCCTATATATTGTACTCACTCATAAGTGGATATCAGACATAAAGCAAAAGATACCCAGCCTACAACCCACAACCCCACAGAAGCTAGAACCCTCTTCCAGAAACAGCTGGAAGCAGATGCAGAAATCTGGCATTACTGATACAAATTTATATTAGAAAATTGGCTAAATCTATGTTAGCTTATTTTATTTTCAAGAATAAATATACATTAAGCCATGGTGACTCACCTATGAGCATAACACTTGGGAGGCTGAGGCAAGAAGACTGTCACACATTTGAGGGCAGCCTCCGCCCCTCCTGGCTAAGCTAAAACCCTGTCTCCAAACCAAACCAAACCAAACCAAACCAAACCAAACCAAACCAAACCAAACCGATAAAGACATACCTTGCATCAAGCTGTAATCGGGTCTTTATAAGCCAAATGGGGTTTGTTGCAGTGATTGCAGTAAAACCTAAACAAACATATTTAAAATGAATGTCAGGAGAAAGGAACCACACTCTTCACACTAAGGGTCTTTACACTGTATGAATCTATAGTAATGACAATGTCTAAAAATGTTTAAACTATTAACTCAAGTAAGTGTTACACTTTGAATACCAGTTCATCTACAACAATTCTCAAGTCTGGCCTCCCTAGAAGAATCTCTCAGGAGCAGAGTCTTATCTCACTTCAAGGGTTGTCCTAACTTACATGAAACAGGGTGCTCTCTACTCTGTAAACCAAGTTAACGGAACAGAAATTTTGTGATTCAAGAGCTAAAAAGCATGCATTCTAAAACAGCTGTCTGGAGGTGAGTCACATCACCTGTCACACTACATTCAAATGGAACCCTAAATAAATAGCACTACTTACTAATATTTAGGTCTGTGGACCAGAAAAGATGTGTAAAGTCAGTATTAGCAGAGGTAAGGTTTCTGTTAGGGTTAATAGGTGGATCTACCTGTTATCCAATTAAACAAAAACTCTAAAGTCCAAAGCTACAAATTGGAATTTCCCTTTACAAATAGTGAAGAAAGTCACTAGGGTGGAAGGCAGTTCTCCTTTATTAAGGTTCAAGTATCATATAGTGACTACTACTGCAAAGCAGCAGTCTCCATGGTGGCTCAGTTTCAGTAAACTAGGGTATCTGGAGCAGTGTTTCTGGGACCATGCATTATCTTTACTTGGTGTCGTCCTACTTTTAGAAAAAACGACATAGAAAATGCAATTTATGAAGATGTTTCATCTATACAAAACAGGGCATTTATTTTGCTTTTACATTTAAGATCAATAATACAAACTTTACAGAATTACATTTACTCAACTAGCCTTTAAATTCACTAAAGACTCACACAGAGGAAATAAGGAACTTAGTTATTTTAATACCTTCTATTAAATACTATCAAGTCAAGTGGTTTGTTTTTTTAAAAGATATACTATACTTTATCACATTTAACATGGTCAAAAATGCTGTGATGTGTTTAATACAACTTTAAAAAAGATATTAGAATCAGTCATAAACTTTCCTTGGCTTTTTACCCAATTGTTTACAAAGCCAAATCTGGTTTCATAGTGCTCTTTCCCTTCTGTGATATCTTTTACTCAAATGTTACTTGTTCTCTTCCCTGTCTTAGCACTGTAGAAATAGCCACATGTCACATAAAGGGGTGTCCCAATTAAACCTATTTAGCAAGATAAATGAAGTCTGGTTTATTAACTTTTTAATAATTATGTGACTAGCACATAGTTTCTGCTTTCCTTAAGCACTTTTAATACTACATACATAAAAAGGAATGAGATCAATAACAATGGCAGCATTAGCTGGTTATAATATAATTTAAAATGTGGAGTAGATTTCAAGAAACACCTTTAAAGGAGGGGTTCTTCTCATGATTATATTCTTGGTGAAAGGAGAAAGATGACTGTCAGACTTGTTTAAATGTTTGTCTTACGAGCTAAGTCTGAGAATGAACTTACACTGTTATTTTCTTCCTTTGAACCCCGTTTTTCTAAATGAGAAAGTTAAAATTATACATTATCAGACATCAACACAGGTCAAAACACCAACTAAATGACTCCTTTTTGCTGGGGACTGAAATCAGGGTCTCACAGCTGCTAGACAAGTGATCTAACTACAAAGTCACATTCGTAACCCTGTTTCTTATTAAACAAGAATTTTATCTCCTAAATATTTATGGTAGCTAGGTATCTCACAGCAAGATTAAAAGAGTTTCTAAGTAAAATAATGTGGAAGCAGCATAAACCCACAATAAATTATTTACAAAAATAACTTGCCTTCTTATGAAACTTAATTTAGGAGGTATAAGGTAGAATTCCTTAAGCTAAAAATAAAGCTATCCAATTAAAAATTCATTCAACTTTTCTGAAGATTACCATCAATTTTAAGTTTAAAATAAAACTTTTAGTTCAAGTTTCTGCCCTTACTCTTTCCAAGTCACAAAAATCTTTCACTTTTAAGATAGAAACAACACATATAAAAATATTTTAAAATTTTACTCAGAATTCAGAAATTTGCAGACTCAAATGGTAACTTTCAAACTTCTCTGTAAACAAATAATGTCAGAAAGCAAACAACAGCTATTTCTCACTTAACTAAAATTTATTTCCAGATACAATATGTACCAGGCCGACATTAAGATTTAGGTAAGTGAGAGAATGTTATCTTGTACTTGGTATTGCTGGAAGCTATGCTTACTGTGGATGTTCTGCCTTAACTCTTCTACGAATTGGCACCAGTTTTCAGTACTGACAACCAGCCAGTCAGAAAACTACTACTGGTTTGGATAAACAATCTAGGCATCAGCTATAGGTTTTTAGCTGATGGTCCTAAAAAAAAAAAAAAAAAAAAAAATTGCTAACTGGTTCTTGAGTTTTACAGTACTACTTTCTCTTAAACCAAAATTAGTTTAAGTAGCGAATAGACATTATCAGACTAATTAAATCTGAAAAAATATAATCTACTAACCCAAGAAATGAAACAAATGGAATAAAACAAAATTTTACTATTAACGAAATTATGTGGTAAGGCAGTTTGTGGTTAGCCACAACTAAACATGTCTTCTTCCTACATTTACGACAAGCACACACAGATACTGGGTATGGCTGATCAAGGAGTTTAGCAATTACTTATCACTTTTTGGCATTTTAGTTTTGTTACCTTTATATAAAAGACTAATACATTCAGAACACCCAATAAAACATGAAAACCAACTGAAGAGTATAATGAAGAATCCATTTATAGACTAAGAAATCTGTATTGTTCCAGAATCAGCTAAGGCAAATTGCCAATACAGGCATTTAGTTAGTAATGTCAGTGTTTTATAAATGCAAATTTAAGTTATGCATCAAGTAAACTCCACTTGATAATGTCAATTAAAAACAAACAAATCCCACCTATAAAAACTCGCTAAAATTTTAAGTGAGTGGTATCTGTATATTTTAGTACTTATTTCAATTTAATTCTCAAAGTACAAAGCATATATACCCTAAGAGAAAAGTATCAAAAGTATTTTAAAATTTAAAACTATACTAAAACAGCTAAGACCTCATTCACTATAGCCTGCACTTCTTAGAAAGTAGAGACACCAGTCTTTTAAAAAAAAAAAAAAGACGGGCAGTAAGCAAGTAATTCAAGTATCAATAGACTGGATTGGAAAGCACTGTAGAATTTAAGCATTAGCTAAGCAAAGACAAGACAACTATTACTCTGTAATAGTTGTAGGACAGCATATTAGCAACTACAGCTCTCTCTAACATTTTAATGTATACTGTTGTCATTCTGTGGAGGTCAAGGCTATTATGGCCAAGCTGAAGACCCCAGGCTTGCATGGTAACTGAAAGTACCCTATGCTTCCTTCTAGAAGGATAACAAAGGGACCAGAGTTAAATCTTTATGAAATACTCAACAATGCATACATATCCATGTCCCACCTTCTACTCATTCCACAGCTATTATAAAATCCCAGGGTGTGTTTCTTATACTAGAGGCTGCAAGAGATGCTCAGATCAGTACTCACGAGGTTTAAGTTAGTCCATATTTCTACAGGAAGTGACCTGCGGATGGGGAGCATGAGATGACACGATCTCACTCTTTTCTCGGGAGAAATGTACAGTAAATGCCTAAAATAGACACAGGCTTTTCTGTATCATAACAACAAGCAGTGACCTCATCAGATACACGTGTACAAACTGAATCCCACTGGAAGGATTTAAGAAATATTTACTGTGAGATCTTTTTCTTTTTTAATTTTTAAGTTAGAAAAGTATCAGAATGGGCCTTGTGTTTTATTATAAAAGTGCATAGAGTACTGACAATCCCACCATCTTCAGCAGATTCAGAGTCCAAATACTTACCTAAAAAGACAATCAATTTTGTCTTAGAGAAAAAATGCTAACCTTGTCAAGGGTTGATCTAATAATACAAGTTTAGAAGGGATTCTACATTCCATTACCTACCACTGTTACCTACCATGAAAAGAGCTGCAAATACTTTCATCTGTTCTTTAATAAAAAGATTATCTAGTGATTTAAAAACCAAACAAACAAACAAACCAAAGAGCCCCAATAGAATATTAAAGTCTGGAACTTTGTATAACTAATAAAGAACACAGTGCTAACAATAGTACCTGTCACCTTTTGACTCTAGCAGTAATATTGCACATCCATACTTATGGAATATTTTGGATTATTTTGTATTAATTCTTGTGTTCTACAAAACAGAAAACAGGAAAAATGTTCACAAATAAGCATACAAAGCAGCTGTCCAACCATGCACTTGGCTGAATACTGTAAGGAAAACTTTATAGTTAAGGAGGAAAAAAACCACCTAACCTCACATTTAAATAATGAATTTAAAATCATAGAAAAAATACCTTGAAAAAATGTGTTCTTGAAAGCAAATCAAAAAATTGTATTCTGTAAGTATATACTACTCACTAGATATACGGACAACTCTAAATGTTGTATTTATTGGCAAATAGAAATTTCACACTAACCATGGATACACAGAAAAATAAAAACAGAAATTCATTTCCTTTTATGTCACAAGTAAAAAATAAGTGTCAGGTAACCTTTTAAAAATTAGTTATTACTGTAAAGAAAGAAGAAACTTAATAGATTTTTGGCATACCAACAGGCGCCATGGTACCTCAGAAGTCTATTCAAGATTACCTCAACAAAACAGACACAATAGCAACAGTATATAGTGTCATGTGTAAGGGGAAAAGGGATAGGTAAAACACAAAAACCAATCAGGATTACTTGGATTAAATACCTTTGTAACCAGAAAATGTTTCAGTAAACAAAAACATACAGTACATTTTAGGTGTAGCCACTTAAAAGTTTAATGTCTGAATTACATGTTTTAGTAGATTTGGATAGCATGCGGAATGAAACTGAAGAGAAGCTGTGTGTGCTGACTGGTGTGGTAAAATCCCCAGGCAAAATATGGCTAACTGCTTCTTCTAATACATTTTTGCTACTAAGGTGACAAGGTTAGCATTTTTTTAAATTCAATTAAAATCTTATTCACAAGACTTATCTTTGAGTACTTTGTACCTCTAAATCATTCTTTGATGTTAAAAAATATGACCCTGAAGAAAACCCAGAGCAATCTGGTGCAGATTATTTTTAATAATAAAGGGGTCAAAAAGCTACCTTAATCAATCTGTACTGGACCATTCTGTTTCACCAGCCATGTAGCTACACACAAAAACCTGCAAAGCTAGATGTTAATGCTAACAAACAGTACAGGGAAATGCTGAAGGCATAATTTTCAGGACAATGCAACTGCAAACAAATGAAAAAATATTTTCAAATTACACAGTAAGTGCACAGTGTAATAATGTCTGAATAATATGCATGCATGCTTATCAATTTACCAAAACTGAAGAAATTCAAGTTGGGAAATAGCATTAATGAAGATGTTACACATTTGAAAAAAGTCTTACTGACTTACTTTGCAAAAATAACAATAAATTTTGGTGAGCTGTCCTAATAAAATAAGATGTTCTGGTAAGAATCTAGATACTTTGAACCTCCAAATGTGAAATATTGAATCCATAATAAACACTGTCAACTTTAAAATGACTGCTTATCTAATTAATTTCTTTCTTTCTTGATTTCCATTTTTTAAAGTAACATTAACATTTCCTTTCAATTTCCTGGGCAAAGAAGCCCCCCCCCCAAAAAAAAAACCTACAAATGCTGATAACCTGGAAATATATTACTAACCTAATGTAATAGTTACTGGGTTTATAACTACTTAGCCCAACTTTCACCTATACCCAGTCAAATCTGTGAGAGGAAAATATCCACAAATAATACAATTAAAAAATTCTAGTTTCTAACTAGGTAAATACTGTTACATTAAGAACTAATTCTCAAAACCCAATCTATCCAGATCAATCCAGTTATTCCAAAGATCAGGTCACAAAAACTCCCAGGAACCAAGATTTCCAGACTGGCAAATCATACACAGTCCCCTTCCAACTTCAAAATAGCAGTCAGTGAGTCATCAACTGAAAACATACAAAATCTTGAAAACAATTTGTAAGCTATATGCTAGGTTTATTATACAGCAAAGGTTATCAATCTCTCACAAATCAGTATTTCAAACTTATACTTGGTTAAATATATGGTTTAAATTAAACTAGACAGAAAATGACTAGCAGTTTAAGGCACTTATTAAGCACATACTGGGAAGTCAATTTATTATTGATCAATAGCTGATAAAATGTTATAGTTTTCTTTAAAGTTACAGAACAATATGGAAATAAATAGATTAAGTAATAATTCTCAGAAAATTGGAAGAATTTTCTACTAAGAAAGGCTTTGTCTAACATGCCTGGCAGCAAATGATTCTAGAACCAGAATGGCAAACCAATCTCTACCACTTACCCTTAGAAGGTAGTGCAAAGCCCCATGAGGGTTGTTCTGATTGGGAATCATAATACTCCTGACATTAAGTTCCTGGAAACATTTCTACACAAGCATGTACACATAAGCCAGAGTATAAAGTTCAGGTCTAGTATGTAGTCTAGATTATTCTTACGCATACACAAATTATAGTCACTGAGTCGTAACAAATATCACAAAAGCTGTAGCATCTGAGCACAGACACATGAATACTTTACCAAGTACAAGTGCACATTTCAGACAGAAGCTGAAACATGCAGCAGGAAAGCACTAATGGAAACTGAGGTGAGCAAGTGGCAGCTTTGATTCCAGTAGGATTATGGCTGGACTCTTAAAGCATGAATGCATTAAATATTAGGTAGTACACAGCAAAATAAATATATCATCTATAGTCTGCCACTTAAACTCTTAATTATAAAGATGTAACTGATAACAGATTTTACGTATACCAAATGTTTTATTCGGATGAACAAAAAATCATTCTTTGTAGATTCTAATTATTAAAAAGCACATCTTAATTTGATAGTCATCATAAAATACTAACATCTCCAGATTTCAGAAGTTTTACTATTAAATATTCATACCTGCCATTGCAGCTGAAATCATGTGTACTTGGGTAGAATCAGGATCAAAAATACCATTCAATTTTTCTTTGCAGTTTGAATAAGCAGCAAAGTATATTGCTCTAAAAATAAAAAAAATTATTGAAGCATAAATCGTCATAATTTTAGAATAGAGAAATCTAATAAAGTCTCAGTCATATTCAATGTAATATCAGATTTACCCATTTTCTCCACAAAGCATGTTTTATACTTTAGAAAAGCCAAACTCCAGTGTATAGTTCCTGGCAACCATTCTCACAGCTCCCAAGCTGGGCTCAATAAATGACAACGATCATACTAACATCCTGGTAACTGGAGGCACTATGCACCAGTGAGGCTGTATGTTTGCACTTCTGAGTCAGTGTACTTAGATGAATATAATTTTAGAGGTAGAGGTAATCTAATCAGTCTGATGCTGGACAGTTTTGGATTCTGTGGCATATTCTACACTCTAAACATACACAAAATAGGTTTATATGTTCTACTTTTTAGTACTGGAGATCCCACCCAAGCCTTTATCCCATTGATACCTTTTTCCCACGGTAGTAAGACAAAGTAATTTTAACAAATGTGATCAGGCTCATCAGGCCAGGTTATATTTTTGCAATGTGAGTAAATACTCCCATTAAATTTGAAGTTTGTTTACTCTTTTGAAGTACTAAATTATTGGCTTGCTGAATCAAACAATGCATTATTTCTCAACAATGCTGATTTACAGACCAGTAACAAAGCAGACCAATAATTGATAATGGAGACAGTTTTATTACTCTGTCTTTTCCTCCTGATTGCACTGAGTATTCTGCCTGCATGTAAGTAAGTGTACTGGGTGCATGCAGAGCCCATGGAGACCAGAAGAGGGTGTCAGATCCTCTGACCTGGAGTTATGATTGTGAGCCTCCATGAGGGTACTGTGAACTGAATTCAGGTCCTCTCCAAGGGCAGCAAATGCTCTTTTTTTTCAGGGGTGTGGGTGGGGGTGGGGTAGGGGAAGGGGAAGGTTCAAGGCAGGGTTTCTCTGTGGTTTTGGAGGCTGTCTTGGAACTAGCTCTTGTAGACCAGGCTGGTCTCGAACTCACAGAGATCTGACTGACTATCTCCCAAGTGTTGGGATTAAAGGTGTGTGCCACCATGCCCAGCCTGCAGCATCAAATTACCAATCTCTATTTTTCAATGCATTTGCTCCCTTTATCCAGAAATCCTACTTAGGAAGTCATTCTAAAATAACGTATATATTTGTGGCACTGTTATGTATGACTGTAATCCCAGCATCCAAGATGAACAAGCAGGATTTTGAGTTTGAGGCCAGGCTGGCAATACAGTACTACTCTGTCTCAAAGAAACAAAAACAAATAAAAACTTCTTTAATTACAAAAGGTAAATTATTTGTGAATGTTTGAAAAACCAGTTAAAATAGAAACTGGATAGAGGGCCCAGATGGTTAAGAGCACTTGCTGTTTTTCTAGGTCCTGCATTTGGTTCCCAGCACCCACACCACTAGGAGTACAACTCCAGATCCAGGGAATCTAATTCCTCTTTTGGCCTCCACAGGCATCTGTATACATAGACACACATCTACATAAAAGATAAAAATATCAGCCATGGAGCTTCCAGAAGCTATATTATTTCCTATGATTCATTTATGTAAATAATATATGCACATGTCCTTAAGCATACAGCCCAGGAAAACTACTGGGATGAAGTACATGGAACTGTTTATATAATGATGGCTGAGTAAAAGAGTGACTGTGTGTGTGTGCGCGCGAGTGAGTGAGTGAGTGAGTGAGTGAGTGAGTGAGTGCGTGCGTGCGTGCGTGCGTGCGTGCGTGCGTGTAAAGTACAACCAGTGGGGCAATTTATTTGAGGTGTAAAGTGAAATTTTATGATCTTTTTTCCCCTTCATTTTTATGGCACTTAAGCGATGGCTCAGTGGTTAAGAGCATATGCCACTCTTGTAGAGGACCTCAGTTGGGTTCCCTGCACTCATGCTAGGAGGCACACAATTGCCTCTAACTTCAGCTCCAGATCTGATGCCCTCTTCTGGACTCCAAGGGTACCTGCACTCATATGTACACACACACACACTTTTCATTTATCATTGCTGTGTGTATGCTCCTGTGTGCACGTGGAGGTCAGAGAACAACTTTAGGAATTCTTTTCTTTCACTGTTGGTTCCGAGTGTTGAACAAGTCATCAGGCCTGCATCCTTTCTTTATGCACTGAGCCATCTCTCTGCTACCACCCACTCCCTATGTAGCTAAGCCCTGGTTCTGAATGCAAGACAATGTTGCTCAGCCTCCCAATTAGCTCAGCTCTGAATAATTTCTTAAAATGAAGTTAAATCCAGTAAATAACAAGATGCAAATGGGGTATGTGGTTTAAAGTACAGAACTAGGTGTCCATATACATTCTAAATATGAACTTTTTTTTGTATGGCATTCTACCATGGAAGAATCCAGTTGCAGGGGATGATTCTGTCTTCTGACTAGGTACACATGGTGTATATACATGCACACAGGAAGAACATACATACATAATAAACATTTTAAAGTACTTATGCATATGCCAGGTGAACCTCTATAATTCTAGTACTCCATTGTCTTAGACAGGAGGTTGATAAATGAGGCCAGCCAAGGCTAACTAGTGAGACTGTCTCAAAACAGAAACATGTAACACTCCCTCGCCCTGCCACACACAAATACAAACCCTTCATTTTCTTTAATATTTTTTAAATTTAAGTTACCACAGTTAAAAAAATATAACTTTCACAATTTATCATAAAACACCAGTTTATCCTTGATCTGTATACTCTGAGAGGTGGAGGCAGGTGGATCTCTGTGATTTCAAGGCCAACCTGGTTTATATACCAAAGCTAGCCAAACCAGGGCTACATTTTGAGACCTGGTCTCAAAACAGACAAACAAAAAAACAAGAACCCATTCCCATAGTTTTTGCCCTGGGTAAATTTTCAGCCCTTCCCATAAGTATAAAATTTCTCTAGTTCCTATGGTCAAAAGAGAATATAAGCATTTTCTCAGAAGGTAGCACAATAGGCAAGTCATTAGTTATGAGAAAATTCAGATTATTTTTAAACCATTACTAGTTTAATAGGTCCTATTCAATCCAACTCAAAGATGTTATTTTAATTTATAGTTTTGAATAAAGTATTCTCCCCTCAAATCTCAGATCCATTCATAGCAATTTAAAATATGAAGCTGTCTACCAATAGTTTTAAACATAGAGCTATTTTATTCTACATTTCATTTTCCAAGTGTGAGCACTAACAGTTTAAAGCAAACATTCACCTTCTCCCTTACAACATGAAACATTCCTTAGTACAATGAACTTGTTAGTCCCAAAATCAAGCTTTTCTGTGTAGATTCCTTCTAATTAGCACCAGAAGCTCTCAAACAACCTTCCCATGAATAATAAAAGTTACATTTATAAATTTAACTGTATCTACAAATTTTTATAGCCAGATACCTTGAAACAAAGACTGTCATAATTTTACTTAGCCTTTTTTTTTTTTTACCTGGAGGGGGCCACTCCCACTAAATTGGGGCCTAATCCTCTAAACAATGAGCGAGGACCCTCTTTTTCCAGGATAACTCTGAAAGAGAAAATAAAATTATTAGAAAGAAATGTTCTTAATTTTCCTTTACTAATATCCTAGAGCAAAGCCAATTTGTCTCCTGTTTATAATGCATCTTTCTGGTCCATTTTCATTACTCACAAAAACATTGGCGGGGGGCACAGGAAAAAGTACTGAAGAATTGAAATGATTTACTAAGAATAATAAAACTGTACATATTCTTTTCTAAAATGGCTGGCAACATAGCTCAGTGGGTAAAGGCATGTGTCATTCAGTCTAAGTAAGGGTCTCATTTGGACCCCTGGAACTCACCTACGGTTGGAAGGAAAACTGATCCACACAGTTGGCTTTTTCCCTCTGCATGTATACTGTGCCAAGGATAGAACCCATATACACATGCACACAATTTTTAATAGTTTTATTGAGGTATGTAGACTCATGCTGGTAATCCTAACACTGGGAAGGCTGAGGTAAGAGGATCAGCCTAAATCTGAGTGAGTTTCAAGTCAGACTGGGCTTTATGAGTCCCTGTCTCAAAGAACAGAAAAGATTAAGAAATATATAGATTGCAACACTGACTTGCTCTCTCTCTCTCTTTCATTTGTATTAGCACACTCAATCCCACAAGCAGAAGTGTAGCTTCTACCTGCTTTCAGGGTTTTGTCTGGTACTGGGCATCAGATTCTTACACAGAAGGCAAACCCTCTACCACTGAGCTGCCCAGTTCTTGAAATCTTTACTTAATACTGGAAAATACCCCAAGTGCTGAAGTATGAGGTCAGTCAACAGTTCTAGTGAGATGATATGGCAAAATCTATTAACCTAACAGCCTCTGGGTTACTAGAATGCTTGGTAAGTTTCCAATCAGTTAACAATTACTATATTAAGAACTTAATATATAAAGATCTTATGACTGGATAAAAAGATAGAAAAGAAAATAGTCCCTCACACTGAGATTTCTGTGAGTTTAAGGCTACCCTGATCTACATAGGGAGCTTCAGGACACTCGGGGCTACACAGAGAAACCTTATCTTGAAAAAACCAAAAAAGAAAAGAAAACCTTGCTGAATAGCCATGAAAAAGGTATATTAAGGTAAATAATTTAATAGGTTACAATAAGCAAATATGGTTCAGGATTATTTATCCCCAAAGGAAAAAGAAACAGTGAATCTAGACTATAAAAGGCTTTATTAGATTAAGTAGTTCAGTGAAGCTGCAGAGGTGATATGGGACAGAAATATTTTAGAATATTTCTTCTGGACAGAAGCCAGAAGTGTGGCAGATGCCTATAATTACACATTTGGGAGGCTGAGGCTGAAGTAGTTCAGGCCAGTCTAATTAAAACTGATTTGGAACAATAAACAAACAAATAAAAAGCAGAGGAAACTTTAGAGCTAAGAAACAGGTATATCAAGTGCAGTTGAATGTAATACTTAATTAAAGATATGAGCTGAAGGGAAGAATTTTCTCTGTGAAGTCCACTGGTGGAGTAAACAACTGAAAAAAGGTTTTAGGGTAAGAAAACAAAACAGTATTAATTTATCGGGTGCTTTAGTAATTAAATAAATTAATTTAAAGAGATTAAAGGAGTGCATGAAGAACAAGGAAATGGTGGTATGGTGGTGCATGCCTTTAATCCCATTACCGAGGAGGCAAAAGCAGGTGAATCTGAGTTTGAGGCCAGTCCAGTCTATATAAAATCCAAGGTCATTCAGAATTACATAATGATGCTTTGTCTTAAACAAACACCCCTAAATTTTTTAAAAAAAAAATTGAAAATTCTTATGATGAAGGAAAAGCAGAATTACTGAAAACCAGAACAAAATATATCTCAGAGGTCTAAAAGAGAATTTTAAGATCTGGTCACTGGTGATGTCACCATTATGATGTCAAGATTCATTTCCTGGGACTGGAGAGATGGCTCAGGTGTTGAGCAGACTGTTCTTCCAGAGATCCTGGAGATCCTAAGCTCAATTCCCAGCACCTACATGACTGCTCTCAACCATCTACAACTGTAGTCCCATGGTATCTGATGTCCTCTTCTAGTGTGCATGTATGTAAACAAAACACCCATATACATAAAATATATAAACAATTAGTCTTTTCAAAATATACATTTCCCACATCAATCAGTACTTTTCTGCAATTATGACATTTTAACTCAAAATTGTTGACAGTACTTTCATGTACTTAGGTACATGCTGAAAAAAGTGTGATGCAATCTTTCTGTAGCAAATGTAAATACACTGGATGAGTTCATTTGCTACTACAAAATAAATACTACTGAACTAAGTTCAAACAGATTTCAAGTGAACTGATAAGGCAGTTGAGCTCTAATACAAATCTAAACACATAGAAACTGATCTGTGTAAGTTTTGTTCTGCTTTTCTTTTTGAGACAGGGTTTCTCTATGTAGCTCTGGCTGTCCTGGGACTTGCTCTGTAGACCAGGCTAGCCTCAACCTCAAGAGATCTGCTTGCTTCTACCTCCCAAGTGCTGGGATTAAAGGTGTGCACCATAGCCAGTTTTAAATTAAGTTTGAAAGCAACTTAATTAAGCCTAGTAATATAAGCATGCCAATCTTTTTCTAATCATCAGAAAATGTCAACACACAAGATTTTAAAATTGAAATAACTGTTTCAAGCTGAAGCTGTTTTAGATTATATGTTATATATTTTGTAAAAGAAAACAGACTGTCAACAACTAGATGCAGGTACCTGTGCACATATGTGAACATTAAACACACAATAGTAGCACCAACAGTACCTTCATTTCAAAACTATATAGAACAGCCATCTGGGTACGGTAGGCCTGTTCTGGATACCGAATTCCAGACCAGTCAGGGCTACATAGTGAGACTTGCCTGAAAACAAAAGTTAATCAATTCAAAACAAAATACCTATAATATCTTTAGAAAAGAAACCCAATGGATAAATTTAGAAAAAATATTCTAAATAGATACAATTTGGAAATATTCCGTTAAATAAATGTAATCTTTATTATTGTTCGACTCCACTATGGCCTGTTACCATTAATAAGTATGACTCATAGTAACTTCTGTCATTAACTTTTCTAAAGAACCTTTTAAAAGGTGGGAGAAAAAGACTAAGCATGTGGGAAACACTAGGATAAGCAGCAGCAGCAACAAAATCCACGAATACTTTGCTCACTTTAGGCAATGCAGAGGTCCAGGGGACATTACTCGGTTGACACTGGCTCCAGCCATGGTGTTTAGCTGAACTTCAGAGACATAAAGTGTCACAGAAGATGACTGTAACCGTGTTTTGACAACTTCCAGTGGACATGTCAGAATAGCTCCCACTGTACCACCACATCTACAAAACAAACAAAAAACAAGAAGATCACAATTTAGGCATCTAATCAGCCAATGAGAAGATATATGTTCTTACCCAAGGCTCTAACCCAAAGGTGATGTGCAGCCTTACTAAAATTTAAAAATCTGAAGACTAATTTTTTCTGAAAGTTTTACTTACTTGACTGCAAATGAACACTTTTTATCACTACAAAGAACTGAGGGAACTATGGAAAGCATCCAGACCTGTTGTAACTGGTAGACTTGTCCTCACATCATATCAGAATAAAATGTGAAAAAATAAAACCAAACAAAAATTAAAACTGAGTTTATTAATTTACACACAATTGGGTAAAGGAAGATTTCCAGTGACAGCTGTTACTAAAATGATTGACAAACTGAATGAAGGCTTGAAGAGCTGATTAGCACTCCTTGCCCAGGTGTTACTTGTAGTGCTGTTGGAATCTACACCAGTGTTGGAATCATATCCCACCTTCCAATTTCTAACCCTTTAAGATCTCAGAAATAATTCTGAGCAGTAGGGCAGAGACAAATTACCTATGAATAATCATACTAATTTTAAGTACTCCCAACACTCAGAAGGATTTTACAAAAAACATAGTTTCAGTCACTATCTCTTACTTCCAAATGTGCAGGACAGGTAGAATTAGTGAAAAAATAAACAAAAGTCTTTTAATATAAAGACTGATCAGAGTAGCAATAAAAACTTTTAACAAAATATTACTTAAACTGGTTTAAAAAAAGGTTTTAACATAACCAATTATTCTCTTTAAATACAAGAGCAGGAAGGACATAGTACATAAGTACATAGTAGTTCACACCTATAATCCCAGCTCTCAAAAAGTTGAGAGAAGGCTAGGGAGATAGCAATAGCTAGATGGAAGAGAGAGGAAGAAGGAGGGAGGGAGGGGGGAGGAGAGGGAAGAAGGGGAGAGAGAAAGAGAGACACCGACTGCTGGGCAGGGAGTCTAATTCCCAGATGAGCTAGACCATCAGCTCAAGGATGCAGATACATTATTGCAATCTTTTCAACTGCAGACAAGAAAGACTTCCATGCCCAGAGAGAACAGAAGATAACACAAAAAAGGAGAAAACATCACACAGACTTCTCAATAACCACAAACAGACCTCTAGAATCCTAAACAAAGCTAACCTATCATACGATCAAAGGATACTAATGCATGAGAACGGTTTACACTTTATTTTTCTCTTGGACAGTTAACTACAATGAAGCGTTTCAGCTATAAAGAAAAAACAGTAGAAACTAGATGCAGGAACAAAATACCCCTCACACACTTTTTTTGGGGGGTGGATGGGGGAGTCACAAAAAGGTAAGGAAGTAAATTATAACCAATCCAGATGGATTATGATATGAGAACTCAGGACAAAAATCTCTAAAAGCAAACTAATAAAACTAATATATCTGACCATAGAAATTAGTGGCCAGGTGTGTGGCTTACGTCTACAACTTAAGCACTTGGGAAGCCAAGGCAACATCAGGAGTTCAAAGCTATCCTTAGCTACATAAAACCCTACCTCAAAATCATGCCAAGGAAACGAAAGAATCACATACAAGTATGAGTGCTCACATAAGTAAGGAAAAGTATATAAATGTAATATGAACTCATCGAGAGAAAGTGGCATTATTAAGAGAAGATAAGCATAAGAAACAACTACCCTTGCACATATTTACTTACATGAGGTAAACATTGAGCCAAACAAAAGAAAAAAGGTAAGCTGACTTAATTTTATTAAAAATTGTACTATAACTAACCACAATGAAAAGATAGAAATGAAGGAGGAATGGAAAGTGATACACTAAACTAAATTCCCATTTATCAGAATATCATACAGTAATTTAAAAAATCAATTAGAATTGTAAAAAAAATCTTGGGTTGGACTCAGACATCCACTACTAAGTAAGTGTGAAGTGAGCATGGGGAGGGGCTGGTTCTATTATCTTTCCTCAGCTTTGTTTTGTTCTTATCATATGCATCTATTTCCAAAAAATTGCTTTTTTGAGACACGGTCTCTCAGCCCTGGCTGGCCTGGGAGTCAGAGATCTACCTCTGCCTCCTATGTACTCAGCAACACTGTATTTTATTCTTATGACATCATCAACTTCGTGGGCAAGATTAAAGCAACTATGCTATAATGCATTTAGTTTTATGTCTAAATGAATGTGAGCACAACTAAACTATATTAAATATATAGCATTTAGCTCATTTATGCATCTAAGATGTGGATGGAACAATTATCCTCAGCTAAGAAAGTAGTTAGTGGAAAGGGCCTGAGAGTCATGGCACAGGCTTATAGTTTCAGCACTTAGGAGGCAGAAACAACTAAAAGTTCAAGGTAATTTTCAGCTACACAGTGAGTTCAAGCAAGACCAGGCAACATGAAGCCCTATCTAAAAAACAAAAAACAAAACAAAAAAAAGCCCAAATATTATTTTAGCCCTAGTCTATTCCTTCAGCATAAATTTTCATAAGACAATAATTAAATTTTTCAGAAACACCAATTTCCATAACCAATATAATCATGTTCTTTAAAATTAGCAAGTGAAGAAGCAGAATCACAAGCTCAAGGCCTGCCTAGGCTACTCCATTCTAAGACAAGGTCAACTTAGTGAGATCCCTCTCAAGATAAGAAGGTTGGAGCACAAAGCTCTTGGTTTACTTTGAAGAATAGAAAGAGAATATAAAATCAATACTAGAACTATCTCAAATCAAAACTAGCTGAAAAGCCTGTGCCCATGCAGAAAGTTCTAGAAGTAAAAAATCATCAGAAAAAAAAAAAAAGGATTCAAGGTTTTCTGACACTCAACTATCAGAAAAAACACAAGTAAAAGTGAAAACACACACCAGTCAGATGTGGTGGTACACACTAAACTTCCAAGACTTGGAAAACAGAGGCAGGTGGATTTCTGAGGCAGCCTGACCTACACAGCAAATTCCAGGCCAGCCATGGGTACATAGCGGATTTTGTCTCACAAAGCAAAGCAAACACACAAAAGATACAAAATAACAAATGAGAAAGAAAAGTCAATTACTTTCAAATTTCCCTGGCTGTATACTCTTGACTCTGCACACTCACTCCAAGTGCATTAAAGCAGGTCCTTAGGATTTCCTCTGACCCAGTGATGTAGCTGTAAGTTAGAGCAACTGTAGTGTGTCAGCCAATTAATTGGCTAATGTGAGTATTTTACTATTTAAAAGTTACAATGTAAAGTTATTTCTGTAAAACGCATTTGCTCTGTTTTCTTCACTGACAATTCCAGGGACGGAACAGCCAAGTTTGAGACCAAGGAGCATTAAAAATTCATTACAGCATCAAAAAATCTTTAAATTATGAATTTTACTAAACTATAAAATGGCATTATGTCTTTGTAAATCCAACGTAACCTCAACTGTTTTTTTCTTCTTAGTCAAACTACCTGGACCAATGGCTTAGAGGTTATGAGCACTGGTTGCTCTTCCAGAGAACAGTTCAGTACCCAGCATCCACACGGAGGTTCACAACAGTATGTAATACCTGTGGTGATAACTTGTTTGTACTCTTGACAAAGCTTGTCTGTAGATCAGAGGGCACAGCTAGGCACCGGTTAACCACAGAGGTCTGGAGGTCTGTACAGACAGCAAGTCTGAGGAGGAGGATTTCCTAGAGGCAAGAACTCTTAGGGCTGGTTGCTCTGCTTCTCTGATCTTTTAGTTTTCATCCCCTAATATCTGACTCCAGGTTTTTATTATTAAGAACAAGAACTCATGCCAGCTCTAGAGGATCCAATGCCTCCAAGGGTACCCGACATGCATAGAGTGTACAGACAGGTAACACTATACACATAATAAAGCTTATAGGCAATTATCGGGGAGTGGTGAGCACCTATAATTTAGCACTCTTGAGGCTAAGGCAAGGGGACCAAGAGCTGCAGACCTTTGTAACAAAACACTGTCATCCAGAAAGAGGAAGGCAGAAAGGGAAGGAAGGGAGAAAGGGAGGAGAAAAGAAAGGAAGAAAGAACCAGGGAGGAAAAAGGAACTAAAGGAGTAGACAACCAAGATTACTTAAGAGAAATAAGACAATCATGTATTCTATGCATTGATCTAGACTATCCATTGTTAATTTTAACAATTTTATATGACAATTAAAACTCTTCTATTTTGGTGTTTGTCTGTGTAGTAAGTTTACTCAGCTTACTTACAGTTGCTTCTGTATGCTTATGAACATGAGAGAAAAATTCAGGCATGCCAGTGGTCAACTACTTTAGTACCTTTACCAACCTCTTGAGTAAGTGGCACGTTTGAGTAAATCAAGCACAGTGTAACCAAGACACTGTTTAAAAGTACAAAATATCCCTTCCTTTTGTGGCTGGCATCAAAAGGAGGGATCCGCCATGTAGGCCCCAGGAATGGTTCGGGAGTACCAGGTGGTGGGGCGCTGCTTGCCCACCCTGAAGTTCGACAGGCAACCCCTATAGCTCATGCGCATCTTCGCGCTGAACCATGTGGTGGCCAAGTCCCGATTGTGGTCCCATATGAAGATGAAGTCATCCTCCGGGAGATAGGACACTGTGTAGAGGTGCGACCCACACAACGTGCCGAGAATACCAGGACCTGACCGCTGCTGGAGCCGTCAGACAGTGCTGCCCAGACAGGGGTGCCCGGCACTGTGCCCGGGCACACTCCATTAACATGATGAGGGTGGAAGAGATTTCAGAGGGCAACTGCTGACGGCTGGCTGTCAAGATAAAGTTCCCGCTTCCTCACTGTGAGTTGCGGCGCCAGCACAAGCCACGCTTTACCACCAAGAGGCCTAACACCTGCTTCTAGCCCGACTGAATAAAACTCAAGTGTCCTGCCTGGAAAAAAGTAAAAATAGAAGTACAAAATATCAAAAAGCTCTGCAAAAAGGCTGGGCGGTGGTGACGCACACCTTTAATCCCAGCACACGCCCGAGGCAGGCGGATCTCTGTGAGTTTGTTCCACAGAGCTAGTTCCAGGA